ACTTACATCGAATGTGGCGCTCGACTGTTTATCTTCTTCGGGAGAAGGGAAATTTTCCGGTTCTCGGTTACGAGAGAAAAATAAATTTTTTCTCCAAATAACGGCGTATTCATCTCCATCGAGATCGGATCCTGTTATAAAAATAACACTGTTACTCATTTAAAAATATGAATTGATTATTATATTACTTATCGCATAATATTAATAAACATAAACTGATGGTACTAAATCTCTCGTTAATCCACATTTACATTTAAGGGATCTCGAAAATATTTAAAATTATTCTACGTTTGGAAGTGTAACGTAGAAAGCAATATAACTGTCTACAAGCAGGAGGAAAAAAAAAGTATATCATATTTATTCAATTTATAAAAAGTAAAGCTATCTATTAAGTTTATTAACACAGTATGAAAGTGTTATAAAATATTATAATTTTGCGATAATGACAGATAATATTCAGGAACATCCCATTACAGACTGAAGTGACTGGTAACTTCAGATAGTTCATGTGGTCAAACCGTCTTTTTCATATTAATAATCTCGATTTGTACGCATGCTTAGTGAAGTTTATTTTAACTCGAATTATCCAAAAAAAGGCGTTCAAAATTCAAATTAATTCATATAATTTAATGTTAAAATCTACGGGGATAGACAGAACATTCTACCAAAATTCAAACTAACCAACTAAGAAAGTTTACTATGTTGCTATCAGGAAGAGTAGGATTTACGGGGCAAGACACTGCTAAAATGGACAGCATATGTTTTATATTAATTTAAATTAAAAGATGATTAAAAATTGCAGCTTCGTATTTTGACACGAAACAGTAAAAAATTGCTGGCTTTTATTATGCTTCCCTCGAAAGATGACACTAGTGACTGCTGACCATTAACAGAAACTTTGACGTTTGTGTGAACGTCATAATATTGGCTAAGGTGTAGCTTTACTCATACAGGAAGTGAAATGCTTTTATTATCTCGAACAACGAATTTCTATCGTTGTATTGCAGTCCAGTCGTATTACAGACCAGTTTCATTACGAATATCTAGATTCTGCAGTTCTTGCGAGAATTCCTTGGGTTCCATCTTATTGATAAAGGATTGTGGCCCCTACTATCCTCTGAATTTTTAACCCTAGTTTTTTCCTACGGGGATTATCTCAAAGGAACTATTACAAACAATAATCCACACAGAATACATGAACTAAAGAAGAACATTATAAAGGCGACTGCCAACATCAGTGTTCAAGTGCTTCACTTGGTGGCAGCAAACACGGCAAAAAGAACTGGTGAACATTTCGAAATTATGTTATACCTCGTAACAACATAATTTCATTTAGCTTAAAAATTAGTTTATATGTAAACTTTGCTTTAACCTCACAACATAAAACTGATTCCTAACACGCGTGCGTGAATTTTTCATCACTCTATATTTTAGTTATGAGAAAGCAAATGTTTGCAATAAAATTTCAAGTTTTTTGAAGTATATAAAGCGTATTACGAAACTTATTTTGATTTCTTATATATCTGAATAAGCTGCTAAAGTGAAAAGGATTTTTCGTTTTCGAAAATGTTTTACAAATTATTACTAACAAGTAAGTAATTTTATCTTTAAGAATAATAACATACCAGCCATTTCATCCGGATGTGGTCGTTTCCCTTTCTGCGGAAACACTATACAGTCCACAATATGATGTAAAGCGGGAACATCGATAGCTTCTAAAATTCGAATATCTCCAGGTTGAGTACAAGGGTTTTTTGTCACCAACACTAGACCTGAAATATTATAAATTAATTAAATTACAATAACAATTTCGACTATATTTAATCTGTACAAACAATATTTCTACCTGTTTTAATTACTGTTTCTGTACTAGTTTCTTGTCCTACAATATCTTTCGTGTATTGAATAAATACTTGGCCATATTCGAGAGTGGCCGTCTCGTCTAGAACTCCGAACATGTTTCGTCCTTCGTTGGGATTTATAGCTAATCTAGCTTTCGTCTTAATATCATCTAAAGTAATTAATGATTTTCTATTGTATAGTGAATAATGCGGTAAACACAATATATAATAAGTTTTCAATACTCACAAATCGCTCTTTCTCGAAGACATAATAACAATTCGCGAAAGAAAGGATCGCCTGTCAATCCTATTCCCGCATTCACCATTTCTTGAAATCCGGTTATGGTTTCCAGATTCAGTTTAGAAGCGAGATATTCTGCAGTCTTTTCATCGTCGGTTAAAATATCTGTTTCGGTCGAAAGCATTTCTTCCTGTAGTTCTAGAAATACTTTATTTGGAACACCCAGTTGATTCAGGATGTTGATCATTGGACGATTCAAGTGTACCGGAACTAAATTTAATAAATAAACAAATAAACATATTAAATATACATTTTTAATTTTTCGTTTCAATGCTTCGGTCTCGGATATAATCAGTTTTAAACAACGCACGTAGTAAAACAGTTGAATAAGAAAACCAGTAACGATATCAAATTAGAAGCTTAGAAGCAATGTTTGAATTTATATACAGGCCTACACATAATATTCGTATAAAATTAAATACTTACTGGCTTGACTTTGCTTTACTATTTCAAGTTGATCAGATGGACTATCAAATTTTTTCATACTTTTTCTAAACACAATTTTCAGTCCTTCGTCGTCCAACGTCGGATCCATAACAAGCATTCCCTTATAACCTGCATATCTTATTTGAAAAGCACACGAAACTTTTTTCAAATTCAACTTTTCGCTAACCTACAAGAATAAGATGTTATAATACGTTTAAAATTCCATTTATCATGTGAATAGGTCTTTCAGAATTAAGTAATGAACTTGTGAGCCGCCGGGGAGGTTGAATACATCTCTCCTTCCGGCCACAAGTCGGTGACCTACTTNTAAACACTTTAATTTATGGTTATTTTTAATTATTCACCTGTAATTTAACGGTTTCCCGTTGGACAGATGTAGTTTTCTGTTCAAATATTTCACAATTTCTGTATAAATCACCCAAAGCACGTTTTGATCGATAAGTTTCTCTGTCAGTTCCTCTTTCCATAAAATCTGGATATTTTTGTGGCTTTTCCTCGCATGTTAGGGGTTCTATATAACCAGACTTTACATAATCTAATGCCAGAGAGAATTTTCGAGCAATCTCTTTGCAGATTGGAGTATGTATACCAAATTTATCTGAAATTGCCAAGTGGGCACTTCCGATTATACCAATCTGGTCATTTTTAATGTATTCTTTCAGCATTTCGGTTGTTGTATGTATCTACGAAATATAGAATTTGAAATTTTTATTGAAAATTAAAAAATCAATTGTATCTAATAACTTACATCGAATGTGGCGCTCGACTGTTTATCTTCTTCGGGAGAAGGGAAATTTTCCGGTTCTCGGTTACGAGAGAAAAATAAATTTTTTCTCCAAATAACGGCGTATTCATCTCCATCGAGATCGGATCCTGTTATAAAAATAACACTGTTACTCATTTAAAAATATGAATTGATTATTATATTACTTATCGCATAATATTAATAAACATAAACTGATGGTACTAAATCTCTCGTTAATCCACATTTACATTTAAGGGATCTAGAAAATATTTAAAATTATTCTACGTTTGGAAGTGTAACGTAGAAAGCAATATAACTGTCTACAAGCAGGAGGAAAAAAAAAGTATATCATATTTATTCAATTTATAAAAAGTAAAGCTATCTATTAAGTTTATTAACACAGTATGAAAGTGTTATAAAATATTATAATTTTGCGATAATGACAGATAATATTCAGGAACATCCCATTACAGACTGAAGTGACTGGTAACTTCAGATAGTTCATTTGGTCAAACCGTCTTTTTCATATTAATAATCTCGATTTGTACGCATGCTTAGTGAAGTTTATTTTAACTCGAATTATCCAAAAAAAGGCGTTCAAAATTCAAATTAATTCATATAATTTAATGTTAAAATCTACGGGGATAGACAGAACATTCTACCAAAATTCAAACTAACCAACTAAGAAAGTTTACTATGTTGCTATCAGGAAGAGTAGGATTTACGGGGCAAGACACTGCTAAAATGGACAGCATATGTTTTATATTAATTTAAATTAAAAGATGATTAAAAATTGCAGCTTCGTATTTTGACACGAAACAGT